AAAAAAAAAAAAAAAAAAAAAAAAAAAAAAAAAAACTGAATTGTAGTGATAGTCTGACAACTAGTAATGTACTGAAATCGATGGAATACCACTTTCAACAAGAGGCTCACAGCTGCCATCCCAGCACTTGGGAGGCAGAAATACCAAGCTCCTCCAATCAAGGCCAGCAAGATCTACAATGAAACCCTATCTCAAAACAAAACACATTTGGGAGGCAGTGGCTTCAAAGAGAGTTAGAGGACAGCCTTCTGTACACATCCAGTTACAAGCTAATATCAAGATCCTGTCTCAAGAAAGCAAAGATATTTGTAATCCAATCAAGAAAATGGGGGCGTATCTTTTAGTTCGTTAAGAGTAGATCTGAGCCCTCTGCATTCCCAAAGTCCATTAAGGATTTCCTTTTTCTAGGTGGTAATCTCTTTCTTGACAATTTTTTTTTTTTCTTTTGAGGCAGAGTCTTCTCGCTCTGTAGCCTGGAACTCACAAAATACTACTGTGCGTTTTATCCAGCCTTTGTTTTAAATCTTGGACTGTTCGTAACAGTTTTCCCATTACTCCTGAGCAATACTACAAGCTAACTTTCGGGCCCTGGTGTCCTTTTTTCCCTTTTTAATCCATCTTCAATGAAAATTACCGACATAGTTCCAACTTAAGGACCCAAACCACATCAACTAGATACGCGATTACGCGTTCACTTTAATTGACAGAGTTCTGGTTCAAAACACCACAGTTCGATACTTATTAACTTTTCAACACGCCTAGCCATCAAATGAAACGGAATGCATTTGACTTTCGGTCTCAATTACAAAACGACACCGAACACAACTCTTGGAGCATTAGCTACACAAAACCTTAACGATCCCACCCCTGCCAAAAGCAGCACCGCCGTAGTTCACCCGGACCCCACCTATTTGAAACATACCCATTTCGCCCTATTCCTATTAGATAAGCCATCCACTTCTCTTACAAGATTAAAGTCTTGGTAAGCATCTAAGCCGGGGGTGCGGGGTGGGTGGGAGTCCTTTGGAGATGCGTACGTACTCTTTCCGCAGTTCCAAATCGGGACTAAAAGGTCAGCTGAGCGCCCTTTACCTCCTCCTGGAGAGTTTCCGTTTACCTAGCTTGCCCTAGAGCCCAGAGAACCAGGGGACAGCTCCCCTCCGCCCCCGGCCGAGGCCTTCCCACCGAGCGGCGGAATTACAAAGGAGGTCCGCGGCCGCCTTTGTCCTGCATCTGGCAGCGGAGCGCCCCCGTCGCCATTGGCTCCTCCGTCCCCCCGGCTCTCCGTCTTATCCCGGGAGTCTGCGTCAGCAGCCCCCTGTTGCCCCGTCAGCCCAGGTAGTCCCTTCGAGCGCACCGGAGGCCACGGTGGGTGGCCGGGCCCGCCGGGCGCCATTTCCACCCGGAGCGGCTCGCCGAGCTCCCCTCCCTCATCCCTACGGGAGAGCTCGCATCTCCCGCTCCCCACCCCCTCCTTCCCGATACTTTCCGCAAGCCGGAGGCGACCAAGTAGCCCGAGCGGGGAAAGGCGGGAAGGCGACCCGGCCGCTACTGGCCCCAAGATGGCGGCAGCCGAGCGGCCCGGGAGAGCGAGCGGCCGGAGCGCGCGGCGACTCCACGTTCCCTCACCCGCTCCCGGGCTCTTCGTCCTTCTCTCGACTCAGTGGTCGGCTCCGCCGGCTCAACCTACCCCCCCTTCTACTTCAGATACCCTGTGGGGTGACTCCGACGCTCGCGGGGGTCGGGTCGCGGGCAGGGACGACGGGCCGGTCCGCGGCTTAGCGCTCTCCACAACGGTTTTTTTTCTTTTCTTTTCTTTTCCCTTTTTCCCCTCAACCGTCTCCCGCGGCGCCAACCGCTCAGGGAGCTGCGCAGCTGAGCTACTGGCGAGGGGGGATGGGAGGGAGCGAGCGAGAAGAAAGGGGCGGGGCGGAGCGCCCAGGCCCGCCGCGCCGCTCTCGCGAGACTTGAGTGACAGCGTGGGCTTGGCGAGGGCGGGGCGAAGCGCACCCGCGCCCTCGGGACCTGCCTAGTTGGGACCCCGGTGGGCCCGGGGTCGTGCGCCGGGGCTGAGGCGGTCTCCGTCGTCTCCTGCTTACCGATCATCCCCTCTGAACCCCCGAGCTCGCGTTTGTCGATCCCCACCACGGGAGCGAGCGCGTGTGTGGCTTCTGAGGAGCCGTGGTGACGCGGGTTGCTAAGTCTCTTTTTTGATCCACTGGGAAGAAATCCCACAAAGGCCCCCCGCGCGGAAGGAGCCACGTGGTTTCTGTTCCCCCCCCAAATCTCCCTCCTCCCCAAAACCGGGGGAAGGCTTTTCCCGTCCACCATGTTTGCATTTTGCAATCAGAAAAAGATGAACGTTGCGCCTGCGAAGATACAAAGTCTCTAAACCCAGCAGGGTTCCCGTCCTAGCCTGGGGTAATCCCCTTTGTTCACCTGCGATGCCAGCCTCGAGGTCTTGATTGGTTCCTATGCCTGTTTCATTCTTCTCTCCATTAAACCCAGTGACAGCTCGGCGGCTCATGGCAGTAGACTTTATCTTAATAGAATTTGGTATTCCAAAAAATTGTGCTTTGCGGGAGACACCTAAAGAAACGCTTGTTGAGGTTCTGTCGTGCTGCCAAGATTGCTCCTGACCCGTTTATGGCCTTTTAAGTTGTAACACAAAATTGCACATGGAAAGTCTGGGAAGGTGGAAGGCCACCCTGGTGTAGGAGATTTAGAAGAGCAAAGCAAGTTAAAGTGGGAACGGACAATGTGAGGGCAAAGAGAAGCCAGGCTGGACAGATTAAGACTAAACGTGGATGGGGTTAGGTTGGAATCACCCTTCAGTGTTCATTCAGAGATTTCTTTGTGCTACAGACACTGGGAAGTCCATTAGGAGTGGAGTGGGCCTGGGTGGTACATTAGCATGGTAGGAGAATGGATTTTATTTATTATGAGATTCTTATTTATGTTTACACTAGAGCCAAGAGGCCAATTACTTTTCTTGAATGGAAACTTCCATTTCACGGCTTTAGTTCATCTTCAAAACTATTTGAAAGTCTTTAGTGCTCTACTGGTTTTATAACCCAAAATATCCCTCAGAGAAAGGGGGGGGTGGGTTTCAGTGTGATGATAATTGCAGACAGGAAAAATCAAAAGATGTTCTAGAAGCTGTCATAGCTCAGGTTTATTAAGGACTTACTGGAATGGCATGGTAAGCAATTCATTGTCTTTGTTCTTGGGTAGCCAAGGATGTCCTTGAACTCCTGACCCTCTGATCTCCATGTTTTCTGTGTTTCCACAGTCTTAAAAAGTGATATTTA